CACTAGTATCTCCCCATCACATAATATGCAGTCATATTTTGGCTCCTACCATTCCTAACACCACACTGTTGATTTCTCTGGCCCTTGTTCGTTTAGATTAGTGACCTTCCACCAAACCCAGCGGCCTTTCCGGATTTCTTATTCCTTTGGTTTTCTGCAGCAATTTGCAGGTGATCCTCTCCCGCTTCCTCCTAGAAACTTTCTTCCACTTACCATTTTTGAACTGACTTGATTCTTGTTTTTCTCCTCTTCTGACTTTTTTGTCCTCCTATATTCTCTTTATGTCCCTACCATTAAGTGTGAGTGTCCTCCAGGACCGTGTGGCTCCCTGTTGTTTTTCCTGCACCATTTTTGCATTTGAAGATGTTGGCCTCTCCTAGAATGTCACTATCCTAAACTCAGAGGCTTTTCCTAACTTCTCCTTAGAGATCCACCCCACATTTCTCTTTCTAAACTGGCATAATCATTCTTGCCCTCTCATAGAGTGGCCCTTTCTTCTGACAGACGTGGCTCGGCACACCTCATCGCACTTACTTTTCCCCTCGGCTTTGAACCAAAAATATCCTTCCAGTGGGCTTGAAACCTGCAAGTTGCTGGACTCCTTTCCTGGCTGTCCCCACCCCTTTGCTCATTTGATCCTCAAGTCCTATTAGTTCTTATAGTTATCTCCATATGGCCCCGTCTCCATTTATTCACTTTAGATGTTGTCTAAAATGTCTTGCTCTAGTAAATGAAGACTTAGCTTATTTACTTCACCCCCCCGTCCCCCAGCCTTCTTCCCAAAGTCATTATAGGCACACTGGGAAATACTGAGGGTTCATATCCAGACCAAGAAAGTGGGTATCCCAATAAAGCAAGTCACATGAATATTTTGGTTTCCAAGTACATGTAAAAGTTATGTTTACACTATACCTTAGTCCGTTAAGTATATAATAGCATTATGTCTAAAAAAAGTACATTAATTGTTTAAAATTGAAATTAATTTTTAAATTAAAATTTAAAAATATCTTATTGCTCGAAAATGCTCGTGATCCTCTGAGCCTTCAAATCATATGTGATCTTTTTGCTGGTAGAAAGTCTTTTTTTTTTTTTTTGAGACAGAGTCTCACTCTGTTGCCCAGGCTGGAGAGCAGTGGCATGATCTGAGCATAATTCTCAAGAGCCCTAGGATTTTGGGAATGGTAAATGAGCACTGGCTTCAACTTAAAGTCATCAGCCACCAACTAAAGTCAGCCTGTCCTTTGAAGCTTTGAAGTCAGGCATTGACTTCTCCTCCCTTGCTTGAGTTGGGGAAAACAATTGTCTTCATATATAGGCTTTCAATTGAGATAACACTGTTCAGCCCTACATCTCATTTTCACCCTTTACTTGGCTTAAGTATTCCTAACCTTTCTGTGGTCCCCTGCGATGACTGCTTCCTCTGTGTCTGTACTCTTTCACAGTGACTCCTGACCAGTGCCCTTGAACTACCGGGTTGTAACCTATTAGGGAACTCATGAAGTCATGAAATACATGTAGTGACTCAAGATTATATGAAAAGAATAGCTTAGAAGAGAACATATCAGGGTGCCCTGCACATCGTAAGGATAAACACTGTTTTGTAAAATTTGTTTTAGTTATGCCAAAACACAGACGTATATGTAGATATGGATTGGATCTCCTTGTAAAATGTACTTTTTACTGTGGGTTGAGGTGAAAGAAGTTAGAAAAATATTTTTTAAGGCCATGGCTTGCTCCACCCTGTTACAACAGCCAGTGTTTCTTGGTGCATGTTGAATCTCTTACAGATTTGTTGAAATGTCTCTTGTGTGTTTATTAATGGATGATATGAAACGTATTTATTAACCTGTGTAGAACAGGTCTGGATCAATCAGAAGGGATGCTGGAGCAGAGACCCTGAGTTCTCCAGCTCTGTCAAAGGTTAACTCTTTATTTATAGGATTGAGGAGATGTCTTAGGGGGCCCAGTGGATGGGACAGGGAGATCCATCAGTGGGAGGGGCTCTTAGGGCATTGGGATAGTAGCGCTTCATCAGTACAGAGTATTTAAATATTTTAAACCACTAATGTGGCTGTACTATTGCATAATAGCTAGATATCAACCCTGGATTTATATCTTTTTAATTTCTTACCTGAAACTTTAAGGATGTCTTTGGAGGAAGGGGAAATATATGGGTGCCCCTGCCAACCAGTTTGAACCAGAATCTCTGCAGTTTGTAATATAATTTTCTCTTTTAAATTTAGTCCCCCATTTAAAAAAATTACGGTTACATTGCTATAACTAATTTGATGTTCACTGGTGATAGTAAAGCTTTTCTTTTTCTGGAGAAGAGGGAAGGGAGGAGGAAATCCCAGTTTAAGTGGAGAGAGACTTTTCTCTGAAATACTCAGGGTAACAGAGAAGGAAAGGAAGAATTAAAGAGAATATATATTTGTAAGACTGCAAGGTGGTCTGAAGTGGAAATAACTGTGAATAATGAAATTAGAGGAAAAAAGTGGACACCAACCATGAAGGAGAAGGTGAAGAAGAGAGCGTAGGGTGATGATTTCACATAATGCTTGTAGGATGAGTAATGGGACAGTTTCCTCTACTTGCCTCAGCAGGGGTCCTGTCCATGGCCTTGCTTCTGTCTCTGTGGGGCTGTGGGGCAGAGGGGCATTAGCCTGTGGGGTACCTGTGCACACACCCCTGTCATGGGGGGAAGAAGGAGAAGGTAAGGGAGTGGGGGCAGCTGTGTGTAGCTCCATATTTGCAATGTGTTTGTAACTTGAGGAATATGTAGACAGTAGTGGCACTTAACTACTGATTTCCTTAAGTTAGTGATGGCTGAGGGCTGTTACTTAAGTTCTAGACCTAGTACAGCTTGGTTTTACCTCGTTTGTTTATTACCTTTCTGTTACATTCAGGGAAAAAAGGCCCGTCCACATGTATGCTTTCAGCTCATTTCTTGTCCTCTGCTTCCTTGATTCAGAGGGGAGACAAGAGACAACCTCAAGTAGAAGGCGGACCCCATACTTTTACCTTTCTGGCTGTGGTTGGGGCACGAATTAGGTGCAGTAGCCCAAGGTCTCCTGGAAAGCTGGGTTTTCCTTTCCTGAATAGGAGCTAGCCTGTACATCTCTCAGTGGGTCAGAGTAGCATGGTGACAGGGTGGCAGCGTGGCCAGAGGGCACGTTGCTTCCGAGATGCGGAGGATTCCTGTTTCCAAGAGGCTGATAGAAGAGACTTGTGGTTCTTATCAGTCACTACCAGATGTGTCCAGCTGTTTCACTTGCTGCTCTATCCCAACCAAACACACTTAATGTTCAAAACAACACTTACATCATCAAAAGTGTTCGCAATGTTAAACCTCAGGCTTTTAGTAATTTAGTCATTAGTCTGGTGACAAAGGGAGTGCCCTTGCATGGTACCGCATCTGGGAAAATCCAGGCCCAAAATAGATTTTCCAGGCTTTCCTGAAACGACAGGATTTTAAGGGGGTAGATCCAGATTACTGACTAAGAGGGAAGCACCCTAATTCTAGCCTCTTCTATTCCTTTATCTCATGGATGCCTTGTCCCATGGAATAGCTCATTCACCAGCTCCAATGAGAACGAATCCAATAGAGTGAGACTATTAACGTTTCTTTTGCTGCTTTTGATATGAGACATTGTATCACCATACAGTGTTTTGGGTGGCTTGACAATTTGCCTTTTGCACTAACTGCCATGGCATCATTTCTTCCCCTTGTGCAGATAGTCAGTCCCTCCTTAGGGTCAGTGTTTTGGGTCAGATTGCATTAGAGAGCATGTTCCTTTCTAAAGGCTCAGCTTGCTGCAAAAATGCACTGTCCTAACCATTTCAGTAGCAATTTTGCATATTCTGGAATTAGTTGGTATATCTTCTTTATATTTTTCATTCCTCTTCCTCAGGGAATAACTGAATCTGGGCAGAGGCTTATTTTAAAATATGAATTAGATGTAGTAGAAGAGAACTGTCACAGAAAACAAGGGTTGGACCAGGAGGATGAGCACATAGTAATCATGTTCAGAAGTTCCCAGAAGTCTTGACTCGTGCTATTAAAAAGATAATGAGAGTATAATTATAACACATTTAACTCAAATAGTATGATTTATATCATTATGAGATACAGCATAAAAAATTGTTTCCCAAAGCGGCATCGTAATTTATATTTCAAAAGGGAATTAAAATTACTATTCTTTTAGTTTGCATTTGTTCAGATTTTTACAATCACTGTTTTTCTCAGCTCGGGGTCGCAGAGATTCTACAGTACAGATTAGGTAACTGAGGCTTAAAGAGATTAACCAGCTAACCTTTAGTGGTAGGCAAAGTTAGAAGGTCCACTGGATCATACAGGCTTTAATTGTTTATGATTGATTTTGCTTAACTAATCAAGGTGGGGATTTCTTGCATAATTCCCTTCCTGTACTTTCTTCCCTATTTTCCCCTTTCCCATTTCCAGTGCTGCACTCTTATTAAATATATACCTGTCTGTGTAAACATCTTTGTCTTTTTTCCCTTTTTAGAGATGGGGTCTTACTCTTGTCGTCCAGGCCGGAGTGCAGTGGTGCAGTCATAGTTCACTCCAGTCTCAAACTCCTGGGCTCAAGTGATCATCCCATCTCAACCTCCTGAGTAGCTAGGACCACAGTCACGCACCATCTTTTTCTTAAATATAAATGCCATGTTTTTGTGTGAAGGCTTATGGCAATTGTGCTCTGAATCCTCTGATAAAAGTTACCTGTGATGACCTATTTATCATTACGCTTCTTAACTAGACAGGCAGGATCTTTTTTGTGAAGGACGCTTCTGAGGGTAAGCCGTCATTTACCTCCTTGTATGTCATGAGTGGTCAGTGACAATATTTGAAGGGAAAAAAAAGAGCCTTGCTTGGAATTGATGCTCCTTTCTACATTTAACTCGTTTCTTATCCTTTCCTTATTAGCTGACTTTTAAAAGTCCATTATTTAATTCCTTCTCTTTATTTTGTTTCTTCCCAGAGTGACTCCCCTTTCCTCCCAGAGCGTGATGATTCACCATAGCCAGACCCAGGAATATGTGCTCAAGCCCAAGTACTTTCCAGCCCAGAAGGGGATTTCGGGAGAGCAGTCCACTGAAGGTTCTTTCCCTTTAAGATACGTGCAGGATCAAGTTGCGGCACCTTTTCAGCGTGAGTATAGTGTTATCAACCATTTTCCTAAGTTACGGTATCAGAGATTGGAAACGCTTTGTTCAGTGTAGACGGCTTTAATGTGTCACAGTAGATAAAATTCGAGAGTCACTAAAAATCCACATTGGTTCCTAAAACAACCAGACAGCAGAAATTTAGCATGGTTTCCTTCTTCTGAGGAAAAGCAGCTTTTCCTGGATTTTGGAAATGAATCTGAAGTGACCTGCCTGTCATTCTGTTTCTGCAAGATGGCTTCATGTCTAACATATTTGCTCTAATTTTGGGTCCAGTCATATGTCTGACATGTTTACATTGATGAAATATTTTCTTTAGTAAGCTAGCCAGGACTCGTGCCTTGTGAAACGTCTGAAATGTCCTGCATGGCTCTCTGAGGTTCTCCTACAGTGGATATTTTTACATTATAAGGCTCACCTAGTTTTTAGTGTATCAAGCAGCTGGCGTGGCAGATTTCTCTGAATTTGTAAAGCACTATTGTATCAGTGGCCAGCTTGGTTAATATCTCGCTATGTGGGAAGCTCAAGGACAAGGCCTGGCTCAAAGGGTGGGGAATGTGATGATTTGTGGTTTAGGTATTACAGAGTGTCTGCTGGCAGCATCTGGAGAAAACGTTCTGGAGTGAGGCGCAGCCCATCCAAAGGCGAGAGCTAGACACATACTCTCGTTCCAGCGGCTTCCTGCCCTGTCACATGTTGACTGATTGCCTGCACCATAGGTAGTGAAAGAGAATGCCAGTTGTGAGGTGGAAAAGGACCATCTTTCACCACTGGGAACAGTATGAAGAGTTGAGATACAGTTTTTACTACTGTTTGGCACTTGTGAAGTCCATATGCGTTGTGGCTTTGGTTCCCTACACCCACTCCACCTCCCCGTTTCTGTACTGAATCTAAAATGATTGACTCTTCCCTCAGAATTGGTCATTTAACAGAAAGAGTATCTAACAGCAGGTTTGTACATCCACTTTTTGTCTTTTGAGAAAGTCCTGCTCAGTGACCGGTGGCTACTCCCATCTCAGCCTCCTAAGTAGCTAGGACTACAGTCATGCACCATCTTTTTCTTAAATATAAATGTCATGTTTTTGTGTGAAGGCTTATGGCAGTTGTGCTCTGAATCCTCTGATAAAAGTTACCTGTGATGACCTATTTATCATTACGCTTCTTAACTAGACAGGCAGGATCTTTTTCGTGAAGGATGCTTCTGAGGGTAAGCCGTCATTTATCTCTTTAAATAAATGAATTAAAATTCATTTAAATAAATTAATTAAGTAAAAGATCTACTTCTTCTTTCCTTGGGGTTTTATATAGATGACAATTTTTTAAAAAACAACTCCCAAATCAGAGTGTGATGGGAGGAGAGGTGTGTTTTTTTTTTGTTTTGTTTTGTTTTTTTTTTTTTTTTTGAGGCGGAGTCTTGCTCTGTCGCCCAGGCTGGAGTGCAGTGGCGTGATCTCGGCTCAGTGCAAGCTCCGCCTTCCGGGTTCACGCTATTCTTCTGCCTCAGCCTCCCGAGTAGCTGGGACTACAGGCGCCGCCACCATGCCCAGCTAATTTTTTGTATTTTTAGTAGAGGTGGGGTTTCATGGTGTTAGCCAGGATGGTCTCGATCTCCTGACCTTGTGATCTGCTCGCCTCGGCCTCCCAAAGTGCTGGGATTACAGGCGTGAGCCACCGCATCTATCCGGGAAGAGAGTTTTTAAAGTTTATGATCATACTGATAAAAGAAGAGAATTCTGAATTATCTGGAGGTATCAGGAAAAGATGGTTAGAGAACACTGGTATTAAGACTAGAGACTAGACTGTGGTTTTGATTTGTTTTCTATAATTTGTTATTGGAATGAAAATTCCCACTCTGTGTGTATTCCCACACTCATGTGTATATATGTATTTTAAACTCTCAAATTTTGGTTGAACTGTGTTCTGAAAGATGAGATTATATTTTAGAAGACTGTGAAGATAAGTTTCTTATCTGTTCTGTCCATAACTTTCCCACTCATCCTGTTTAAATATATTTTCTACACAGTAGGGAGCTAGTAAAAGAATGTGGACTAATGTGTATTATCATAGTGATAGTGTTCTCTGCTCAAACCCCCTAAAAGATGGCTGTTGTTCAAAAAGCTCAGGAATTAACTGAAAGAGTTAAGCGTGTGGGAAAGGCAAGAAGGGAGATGTGGCTATTTTTGCTGAGGCCATAGCTCTACCGAGAGCTGGAGGGCTAGTTGGAAAGTTTTTAAAAGAGGTAATTTGGCAGGACCATGAAGGATACTGAAATAGCAAAATGGAGTAAGAACCACTAAAGATGATTAAAACTGGAAAGGAGGTACAAGTAGTAGGAAGGACCTAAACATACTGTGTCTCTGCATACTTCCATTCTGTGGTAGGTAAAAGAGGAGGCTCCAAGAAAGCCTTACATGGAACAGAAAGGAAGGAAAAGTTAGTCAGAGAAGTCTGAGGAAAAGCAGCTTTTAGCATCTTCATTTTCATATTTACAGAAGGGATCAAATGCAAACAGATTAATTTCTTATTGTGCTGAAAGATTTGAAGGTCAAACAGAAACTGATAGTTGTGATTCTTTAGAAAAACAGAAGATGCTAAGATGGTTTGAGCATGATGTATCTTGGAGTGAAATTGAAGGAGTGAGGTATGTCATAGTAGTCCACTGCCATTACTTTTGAGAAGCTACTAGAACTAGAGAAGACATTTAGGTTGGCAATAACAAGTGTAATCTTCTCCCTTTAAAAGTGATTAAACGGGGTCTACAGTAATTACCAGTTGGTATGTTTAATATTGATATATTACAAGAGCAATAATAATAATGCATACCTTGAGCTCCAAGCACTGTGCAACTTTTAGCTCATAATAGGAGGAAACAGTAGTCTACAAGCCCAAGGGAATAAGGATTTGCTCTCGACACTTGGTAAGAGAAAAAGAACAATTGTTTTGAATAAGCAGGAAAGAGATGAGGATGGAGGCAATGGATTAAGTAAAGTAAAATACATTAATGTGTCAAATGTAGCACTCTCCAGAGAAAACATTATAGATAGAGAGAAACTAACCAAGTTGCTAGTGAGGTGCTTTCTTTTGGGAGGGATGACTATTTTATGGATTTTGCCAGAGTTTCGATAACGCAATTCACCATCCCTGTCCAATGTGTACACACTGCTTTTCCTAATTTGATTCTGTATATTTACCAGTCTTCTTGGTCACTTTCTAGGTAACTTGACATCCTGTGCTAAGTGTTCTCTGGTCTTTGGTAAAGGATATCTTTTTTTTTTTCCGGCGTCTTTTCAAAGTTCATCCGTGTTGTAGCATATATCAGTATCTTATTCCTTTTTATGGCTGAGTAATACTCCCACATTGTATAGAGATATATATCTCAGTTTGTTTATCCATTCATCAGTTGATGGACATTTGGGGTTGTTCCCACTCTCTTGGCTATTATGAATAACGGGGTGCAGTGGCACGATCTTAGCTAACCACAACCTCTGCCTCCCAGTCTCAAGCAATTCTCCTGCCTCAGCCTCCCAAGTAGCTGGGATTACAGGTGTGCGCCACTACTGCCCAGCTAGTTTTTGTATTTTTAGTAGAGACAGGGTTTCACCATGTTGGCCAGGCTGGTTGGCCACACCTGACCTCAAGTGATCTGCCCACCTCGGCCTCCCAAGGTGTTGGGATTACAGGCGTGAGCCACCATGCCCAGCCGGTAAGGGATATTTCTAGTGATAAATTAGTAACTTTTAGTGTTCTGCTTTATTTGTTGGCCTTAAAATAATTTAATTTGCATCAGTATCATCTAGAGCAGGGATTGGCAGACTTTTAGGGAATACTTTAGACTTTGTGAGACAATAGGCAAATTGAGGATCTTAGGTAGATATTTATATAGCTATTTAAAATGTATCTATTAAACATGTAAATATCGTTCTTACCTCTCAGGTTGTAGGAGATCAGGTGGCTGGATTTGGCTCATGGGCTATAGTTTGCCAGTTCTTGATCTAGAGACTCACAGTCTCTCATTCCACTGAAAACATCTAGATATTGGACCTGATTGATTGGTGCCTGGAACATGACAAAAGCTACCCAAGAGGCCATGCCTCTAGCAGCTGTCCTTCATTCTCAGTGTCCCCACCAACCCACCCTCCAGAGCATGACAATTCTCAGATATGTTCCCACTTAGTTTGAAGGCACCCAGAAAAGCATGAACTACCAGGAAACCGCTTGTGTTAGATAAGTCTCGTTTCTTTTAATTTTAGAATGACAGACCACACAGCAATTGGGAAAGGAATGGGATGTTACTCCTGGTTGCTTATAGAAAACTTTTTGGTATTGGTAGAAATATTTTTATGGGATGAACCAGTACCAGCCATATCACAACACAGTATCACATTAAGATACTGTATGAGTTTCTCAAAAAAGTTAAATATAGAAGTATATAACCCAGCAATTCCACACCTAGCTATATATCCAAAAGAACTGAAAACATATGTTCGCACAAAAACTTGTACATGAATGTTCATAGCAACATTACTTATAATAGCCAAGAGAGTGGGAACAACCCCAAATGTCCATCAACTGATGAATGGGTAAACAAACTGAGCTATATATCTCTATACAGTGTAGGAGTATTACTCAGCCATAAAAAGGAATAAGATATTGATAGATGCTACAACATGGATGAACTTTGAAAACAAGCTGAGTGAAAGAATCCAGACTACATGCTATATGAGTCCATTTCTATAAGACGTCCAGAGTAGGCAAATCCACAGACACAGAAAGAAGATTAGCGGTTGCCAGGGACAGGGGAGAGTGGGAATAGGGAATAGTTATTTATAGGTAAGAGGTTTCTTTTGGGGTGGTGAAAATGTTCTGGAATTAGGTTGTCATGCTGGTTGCACAACCTGAAAATACTAAAAAAAAAAAAAACCCAACAAACTTAATTATACACTTAAGGGTGAATTCTGTGGCATGTGAATCATATCTCAATTTAAA